AAAAAAAGCATGTCCATAGTCCATGACTTGAAGCACATGAAATCTACTGTAGTCCTTTACCAAACTTGAAATATGCCCCAGGCAGTGAAACATTGCTTATCACGCAAAGCCGAACAGCAAAGAGGTGAGTCTGGGCAATGCGGGACAACTTGCAGCTTCCAAGCTCCAGACTGCAGCGAGGAATGTCTGGCAATACAACGACAAAGGACACGACCTGAGGGCGCGAAGACTGCAGGAGAGGACTCTGTGGTGATTAGGTGCGAGGCCCAAGGCATTCCGCAGTGTTAGAGGAGTGACTGGACCTTGAGAGGCGCTCGATTCGATTCATCAAGGTCTCCACATCAACTCCAACTTGGATCAAGACCGAGCAGCACTGCCACCAAATCCTGGGCTGGCACAAAGGTTGAAGAACACATTTATCACAATGTATCACAAAGCCATAAAGATCATAAAGGCCAACATCTGCTGCAAGTCCAGGGGACGAAGAGCAGCGGCGCTCTTCGCCGCGCAAAGCTCTGTAGGCGCTCTGCTGCCTCACTCTTCTGGGTGGCATTGAGGTGTCCATCCCCCTTTCTAACCTCGACCTGAAAAACGCCTCGCCTGTGGGCAGGGCTCTAAGGCCTCAAAGACCCGCAGCAAGCGAAGCTGAGGGGCCTCCAAGGCCGAGTGGAAGAGCTTAAGTGAAAGAGAATAGAAATGAAATGGAATGAATACAATGCATACATCATCGAAGCATTCACAATCACAGCTCAAACAGCTTGTGGGATGCTCTCCTGCTTGGATCGCACGTGCACTGTGTAGAATGTTCTAGGTATTCCGGGTGGACTAAAGGGCCATCTGAAATCTGCTGCATTTCCAATTGAAATGCTACCCAATCACAAGCTTCCCGCATAGCAAAAGTCTAATCCATGTGATAAGGCTGGAGATTGCTACACTGGCCAAACAAATTCAAGAGTCTCTGAGCTATGCCATCAGATCAGCCTCCGCCATGGGCTCTGCCAAGTGTTGCAGCAACTCTAGTGCTCCAGCCTTGACCAAGGCCAGACCTGAGCAGCTTCAGTTGGCTGAAACCATGCTTTCCAGAAACTTGTGAAGCTGACAGATCCCAAATGTGGTAGACCGGAGAGGTGGGTAGGAAACTAGTTCTGGTCGAAGCTCGAAGGTAACAAGGCAGATTTTCAAAATCTAGAAACCAATGCAAATCATTAGTGCGAGCACTTCTTCAAGGAAGCTGCCCCCGCCGCCTTTAGGGTGGACGGGGGAGCTTCCTTGAAGAAGCGTGAGCTCTCCTGCGTCCTGTCAGTAGTAGCTTACTTCTAGGTCCTACCTCTATAGCTACTACTAGCTACCTCCTCTACTAGCGGCAGCCTACCCCCTCTTGTAAAAAAGAAATGTGTCAAAAGCGCCAAGCTGCGATTTGCCTCTGCCTGGTCGCCTTCCACCAAGGCCAAGGAGGCATCTACCAACAGAGAGAGGCAGGACCAGCGGTGTTCGCCCTCCCGCCTCGGGTGGCGCGTTCTTGCTCCTAGTAGCGAGGCCAGGAGGCCCTAGTAGCGTCCTTGCTCCTAGTAGCGATCATGTTTAACATGTGTTTGTTCTGTTCTCTTTTTGTGGTTTTCTCACTTTTAGACCCGTCTCTTCTCCTTGCTGTCTTTCTTTACTCCTTTTTGAAGAGTCTTGCAGCGTTAAGTTCAGAACTTCTCATATTCCTCGAAATCATCCTCATCTTCATCTGACGGTTTCCCAGTGATGACAGAGGAGATCGCGGAGACAATTGAGGCAGCGCCGTTCTGGGCCGGGCCAACGAAACATCTTCCGACAAACAACGAAACGTCTTCCGACATCTCATCGCTTCCGACATCTTCCGACTATGTTCTTGTGGAAAATGGATGAAAATGGTCAAGGATTGCCATGCAGCAAAGCATCTGTCTCACGCAAGTACTTCTGGCATGTGGGATTCCTGAGAACCGTTCACAAACGCTCAGGAGCGATCGTGCTACTCGTTAGCAGGTAGATTCGGGTGGTGAGGACAAGCGTCCCAACCACGTTGATCAGGCATTGCAGTAGATCTCGGGCCACTTTGCCGCCAGCTGTCAGGTCTTCATCTTCCAAGATTGAAAAAATGGTTTCGATGAACCCCTGCACGGTGACGATGGTCCTGAGCCCACACTGATGGAAACTGAAAAAGAATTGGGAAAACATGGGAAAAGAAAGCAGCAGTGCTGCAATGCCAAAGGATGCCAAGTCCGATTGCTCTTGTTGGAATTGAGTTAAACAGCTGTTCTCAAAGTTGGACTGGACCTAAAGTTTGTTCAAAAGGTCATTAGTGTTGCCATGTTTGTCCCAAGCTGCTGGATGTCAGCATTGCTTGCCGTGATCAGCAGCAGCAGTCCCAAGGACTCGTTCCGGATATACTCAATGGGTGAGCTTTGCAAAACATTCATCATATGCCCAAGCGACCTGATCTTTCCAATCACAAATAGACCAGCAAAACACGTAAAGTCACACAAACATGTAGCTCCTGCAACTGCAGTTTCAGTGCTTGGGCCTACGGTCTACTGGATCTGATAAAGCATGATAAACATTGATAAACCAATTTTGAGCAATTGATTTTTTGCATCTCAGCCTGGCCCTTGGCTGCCTGTCCCAACTGTGCGAGGCAGCTTCTGTATATGTGTGAGCATGGCTGTACAATGAAAACTCATTTGGGCGCCTACGGCGCACGAATGAGTGACATAGGGGAAATCTTTACCAATCTTCAAACTCATTTTGCCACCTTCTTTAACTCTGTCTCCAATAATTCTTGGCCCATTCGTAAACGAACTATGTCAAAGGTGTGATCAGACAGGAGGAAAACACACTCGGTCCCTTCAGTTCTTCTTTCGAAGCCCAAAAGTGCTAGCATGGACTCGGCATTGGTGCCAGCAGACAAAAGCTTCGCTTGCACGGCAGGGTTGTCTGCACGGACACGACGGAACTTCGATTCACCCGGATTCTGCACCACATTTGTAACCAGCTTCAGAAGAATCTCGAAGGCTGGCAGCTTACATCTCATTTCAATGCTTCGCATGCAAGTCTCAAAGCGTTGCATCCAAAGAGCAGCACCATCCAAGCCTTGTGCTTCCAATTCTGCCAATTCTAAGGGGAGGTCAGACACACTCAGAGGAGATGTAGGACCCTCAGAGACAGCTGTGGACTCTGATGCCTTCGCGTCAGGCTCCTCCAGCTTTGCATCACTTTGAGGAAGCTGCATCGCTGTTGCCGTCTCTGGTTCCTTTGGATCGTCACTCGGCGGAGCCTCTGGGACCAGATCCGGGTCCGAATGTTCTGGCTCCGTCTCCTGCACTGAAGGTGAGGTCATGAGACAGCCACTAAATCCTTCAAGAAAAAGTGATTCCAATTGATTCTTCGTCTCTTCCGACACTTCATGCAGTTGACCACAAGGGCACGCCAACATCCATCCACCATTAGATGCCAGAAAGTTCGGCACAAAGGCATTTGCACCATCCGAGGGTTCGAAAGGCGTGACTTCACGAGTCGTTTTGGGCTCTACTCGCTCCACTGCTGCCAATGCTTTGGCTCTTCTCTCCTCAACGGAGATAGGCTCACCAAGTCCATCGCCACCAAGTCTCTGTCCAAAGTTTCCATCTTGAGGAGCCTCATCTTGCCCATCGAAGCCTTGAAATTGCCCTCCCGCATTGCTGTCGGCGGCTCGACCCCCATGGCTCCAAAACCTATGAAACTTCATGTACTGAGCCTTAAGTTCTCCAAAAAGCTTCCAGAAATTGTGATCGTGCGGGCCCCACACATTGTGGGTAAGCTCGTGGATCAATGTGTTGATCAAATCATGATAAGGCCGGAAACCCTTGAGCGTATCTGTGCGCAGCCGCAGTACAATCATGCCACCAAAATTTTGGTTGTAACCCAACAAGTCCATGTTGGGAGTCCCCCTCTTGGCCATTCGTTCTTGTGCCTCCACTGGGCTCATCTCTGTGAGGACTCCGACCTTGAACTTCCGAGTCTTCATGATTTCGATGATGCCAGGATCCGTTGCGAGCCTCTGCAAGAGCCGTTCTGCTTCATAAGGCGGTGGCTCAGAATATTTGAACTCCGCCTTGAAAAATGCAACGCCAACTCAAAGAGAGCAATACAATTTGAAAGGATACTTCAAAAATCCATACAAAACCAGAGTCACGAAACACAAACTTGAATATTTGGAGAACAAGCCTTGATTGAGCCGAAGTTGAACTCGGAGTCTTGTTTGGTACCCCAAGCAGAAAGTGCGGCTCGAGCTCGTTTGCGACGGCTTTGTTCATCGCGCTCCTCCTCAGCAAAACCTTTTACTAAGGGGTCTGCGCGGCTGGATTGGACGAAGGAGATGTCCTTGGCCGAGCTGGCAACTAACATCACCTTGCTACCAGCCCTCAAGCCAGCTTCTGCCACGGTCAAAGTCTCATTGTCGGGTCTCAACATCTTGCCCTTGGAGATGAGCTTGCAGTTCTCCCGAGGGAAATCCAAAGCCTCTTGAACAAAATCAAAGATTGAGGCCAAATGATCATCTCCCTGAACTGGGACATCATAAGCAGTTCCCTTGTATGACAAGGAGACAAAATAGACGTCATCTGTGCTGTTCTCCTGTCCTGACTCTGGCAGATCTTCGGACTCCATGGAGATGGCAGAAAATCGAATTTGTGCTTCCCTCACGCTTGATTAGATGAGCTGCAAAGCATACAGCAGCATCATGAAACAAGTAATCATTAACTGTGTCAAACAAATCAAGCAACATTGTCATTACCCACCTGGGAAAAGGTCAAATACTTGATGCAGCTTTGAGATTGAGCCCCTAGTTCTATGGGTCCTCCTTGTTCTATGGGTCCTATGGGTACAACACATTGAACATACAGCAAAAAGTATCCCTCCGCAGGGAAATCCGGCAGCTGAAACAGGTGGTTTCATTAGTACAGTACAAACCCCTGTTGAACGTCTTGAGTATATATTATATATATATCATCATCTATATATACATACGGAAAAGTCCAAAAAAATCAAATCTGAGAATCCTCCGCACCCCCTCCCGGCCTTGGATCTGCAAGAATCGCCGAATTCACCGGTTCCGGCAAGCGCCGATAAATTTTTTGCAGTAGAACCAAGGCGTCGTACTGCGTTGAGGTCTCACCTTTCAATCATAATTAGAAGTTGCAAACAAGAAAGTGCATGCTTCACACACCAAAAGCGACATGTGGCGAGTGGCCTACGTTAGTTTATGATTTTGGATGTTAACCAACAACCGGTCGCTCTTTTGCAGTTCTCTAAGCCCTGCACCAACACTCAACAAGCGCAGCAGTTGCTTGCCATTCTCCGAGTGCTTCCTAGCTGAAACTTAGAAACGATCTGATTCACAAACAACGAAGCGCTTCACTGAGACTGCCCATTATCTACGCCACTGAGACATGCCCAAGTGTCACCGCTAGCTCTGCCACCAGCTGTGCCCGAGTCCCATCTTGCTGCATCTGGGCAAGGAGCGACTTTCACATTAACTGAGTACTTTGATGCTGTTGGTGTGTGCCATTCAGTCCTCTTTCACCTCTCCCTTGCCGACAGCTTTGGTCGTGCTATCATCCATGAGGTATCCCAAACATTCCAAGGCTTCCTGGCAAGGATTGCAGGTGTGCTAACCAAAAAGAAATTCTGTGCTTCACAGTCGCACAAGTATGTACATGTATCAAAGAGGGCCTGCAAGGACTCCACGTTCTCGTCCTCGATTTCTTCATCCCCCTTTGGAGAAAGCTTCTCCACAACACGCAGAATGGCCACAACGGCCCCTGGAGGACACGATGAAACCGACACTGTGACCAACATCCTAGACCGAAACCTCTGCTCTGACGGAAGAGTGGGATGCAGTGAAACAAAGTGGGAGAGCTGCAGCACCAGCAAACAAAAGATAGGCTAGTTTGGACATACTGTACTTGCACTATCCATTTTTTTGAGGTAGACGTTGGGTATAAGTCACTACCAGCCACCGACTGGCAATGGCCTATATGCCAATGCTAGATCAACCGTCAAACCGTCCACTAGATCCATGGCCTTCCAGTTCACCTCTGGCTCTTAGGTTGGAGGCCATCGCTCTTAGGTTGGAGGCCATAGCTCTTAGGTTGGAGGCCATTGCTCTTAGGTTGGAGGCCATCGCTCTTAGGTTGGAGGCCAT